ATGTCATCGTTGAACTGGCAAGATGGCGCAATTAGCTCTAATTGGGTGGCAAACCGAAGAATCTGAATAACAAAAACGTTCTTGCTGTTTTTTTTGCTTATCATTTTATTATTAAAAATAACATTATTGTTATTAGCGTCGTTAATTATTGTTATTTTTATTATTATTATTATTATTATTATTATTATTTATTATTATTATTATTATTATTATGCAAAAAATTGGTTACAAATCCAACCTGTGTCACCATTCATCATTAATGATGATGTTACTTCGAGTTCACTCCTCTCGAATTTACTCATTTTGTCACCATTATTATTACTGTTGTTGCTGATGTTGCTGTTGTTAATGTTGTTGTTGTTGTTATGGTGGTCATCAGTGCTATTATCAGTAAAATCGTGCTTGATGTTATGATTAGTTGTTGTTGTTGTATGTGATGATGTTGTTGCTGTTGATGTTGTTGTTGATGATGATGTTGTTGTTGATGATGTTGTTGTTGTTGTCAAGTTGATCAAGTTTTCGGACATCTTGAATGAGTTATTGGCTGAAGAAGTGTGATTGATGTAGTTGTTAATGCTGTTGTTGTTGTCGTGACAGTGGCCAAAAAAACAACTGACATCAACATTGTTGTCATTCATAACAATGTCATTACTGCTTTCATTATTGTAATTAATAGTATTAATGTCATTATCTGCTCTGTTGATGTAAGCGTTCACATTGTTGTGATTCAAAGAGAAGTTGCTATGACTAGAAATGTTGTTGTTGTCGTAATTGTTGTCATCTTTGTTGTTGTTATGACAATAAATGTCGTTGTTAAAAGCGATTTCAATGTTTCCATTCAGACAACTGCCAACATTCGTAACTTTTGCGACATACCCGACATTACAGAAATCATCAGAGGCAGATATTTTACAACCCGGCTCTTCATACTCCCTTCCAACTTTACCCACCAACCCGAGAAGAGATCTGAATTTTCGAAAATCAATTTTCTGCAACAACCTGCTGACGAGTTTGTCCCTGAAGCAGACAAATTGTTTGTTGGTCGCCAGATGTCTTGTCTGGATGGCTGAAATGTCCCCGCCCACTTGTACCATCTTCCCCTTCCAATCACCACACCCACCCTCCAGGTTTTTCATTTCTTTTTGCAAATCCATGATTTCCGATTTCAGTTTTGAGATTTCTGAATCCAGCTTCTGGACGTCTTTGTTGTTTTCTGATTGGATTGAGTTGGTGGTTGATAGTGCTGTGTTGCTGCTGTTGTTGTCTGCTGGATGATGATGCTGTGTTGTTGTGGGGTTTTGCGGTTTTGAGGTGTGTTTAGCTAAATATTATGTGTAGTTTTGTTTATTTTACGAGTTTTGTTTGATGGTGCGTTAATATTGCCGTGTAATTCTAGAGTGATGTAAAAGTTATGCTGCTGCTGTAAGGTTTTTATTAAATGGAATAGTTGAAACTGCAAATTTGGAAACAACGTACGAGCATTCGTTTTCGATACATTCAACAAAACAACAAAAAATTATTTCTTAACGACAAACAAGCCAAACCACCAACCAGCCAATCAAAATTAACAAAAGTCAGTCGGCCATCCAAACAACCAATCAGCCAACCAAAACTGGCAAATGTCAATCAGCCAGCCAAGCAATCAATCAGCCAACCAACATAATCATCAATCAACAGTCATCGAGCAAACCAAACTCAGAGCCCAGACTCACTAACCAGCTGCAGAATTTCTGAAATGTGCCAACACCTTGCTGCTCCCAAGTTGAGTCGCCAGTCCACAGCCGACTGATAACGATGATGATGATGATGATGATGATGATGATGAGGATGATGATGAAGATGATAATGATGTTTTTTGTCTCTTGGTGGCCCGTGGACAACCGGACAAACTTCGGTGCGTGAGGAAGGTCCCATTGGCGTGACCCGAACCATCGCAACCGGGCAGCGGGCAATGACCTGACGGGGCGATTTTATCATTTAAGAAAAAAATCAGAACAGACGCAGTAACTGTTACAACATGAAAAACATTATTATAAAATGATCATGCTGATGTGCTGATGTTGATGTTGATGATGAGGATGATGATAATAATGAAGAAGATGATGTTCATGTGTTGATGCTGTTGTTGATGATGATGTGTTGTTGTTGAGTTGTTGTTGTTGTTATAATTATAGTTGTTCTTAGACTAGTTATTCTCCAGTAGGTCTAGATTTATAATTTATAATAGATATAAAATTATATGTAGAAAGTTCTGCGTTTGGCGGAGCTTCATTATAAAGAATTAGAATAATGGTTCTTAATTAACCATTTATCGTCCTATGGCCGATGACTGGTTATCGAAGGACGAGTGTTTCAAAAGTTCAAATGTGGATTGTGGCGTAAGAAATAAAATGAATGAAAGAATTGGTGAATTATAATTTGTAATAAAAGAATCACAATAATGTAATAATAAATAAAATTAGTAAATAATATCAAATAAATTATACCTATACTGTTGTGAACTGTGTGTGCTGATGACTTGTGAGTGTTGTTGTTGTTGTTGTTGGTGTTAAGTTGAGGCCTGTTGAGAATGGTCGATGCAGGCTCCAACATTGAGCTGGATGTTTGGATGTTGTCGTTATTGTTGTATGTTGATGACAATAATGATGTTGTTGTTGAAGTTGTTGCTTGTAGAGCTAATTGCATTGTCGATGATGAAGTCGTTGCGGTTGTGGTGGTAGTGGTGGAGGAAGCTGCTGCAGTGACTTGCTGAAGTAACGATATTGGTAATGATAACGATGATGCCAGTGATGATAACGATGAGATTCCTGGCGACGTAGATGATGATAGTAGTAATGACGATGATGATAATGATGAGAAGTTTGTTATCGCTGCTGAAGATGACTCAACTACGACGGACAAGTTCTGTGAATAACTAGCATCCGAGTTGTTTGCGAGTGGTGTTGAAGCCGTCGTTGTTGATGTTGATGAAGATGTTGATGATGGTGTTGTTGTTGATGTTGTTGTTGATGATAATGCCGGTGCTGTAAAACTTGGCTGTTTGCACAATCGGTGGGTTATGGGACAACCTGAGATACTGATTGGTCATTATTTAAGTGAGAAGTTATTTATTTAGTTCGTTGGGAAATCTTTTCGAAAAATTTTATCAATTATTCAATCAATCAACTATTCGATCGATCAATTAACTATTCAATCAATCAATTATTCAATCAAACATTTAGTCAATCAGTCCTTCAATCAATCAGCCAGGCACCTTCTATGAGTCAGGTATTTTCCAGTCACATGTCCAGAGCCATCACAGCCAACCACGGGACATCTGTTTGTTTATTTGTTCGTTCGTTCGTTCGTTCGTTTGTTTTGTTTGCTTTGTTTATTAGTTAGTTTGTTTGTTTGTTCGTTTCAATTAAACCCAATTAAACACAAACTTAATCCAATACATCACATCAATCAAAGATCATCTCAACTGACTATTTGGTTGTTATCAACATTCATCAGCTAGTTTATTAATGGACCAGATAATTTTGACATGTCAACTGGTCAAAAGCCACTCAGTTGAGAAATGTAAAATATGTACCAGATCAGTCATTTTATTTAGCCATTTAATTATAGTTCATCATCAATCAAATCGACCAATCATAATTTATCATTATTCCAGTCAAACAATCAAGACCCATCATCAATCAAAGCGACCAATCAAATATCATCACCAATCACAATTTATTATATCAATCAAATTAACCAGACAAAAGGTATTTATTCAGTCGTTCACTTATTAAATCATCCACTCATTTCAATCATTCACTCATTTCAATCATTCACTCATTTATTTATTCACTCATTTAATCATTTAAATATTCATTCGTTTACTCAATCACTCATTCAATCATTCACTCATTTAATTATTCACTCATCCAATCATTTAATTATTCACTCGTTTACTTAATCACTCGTTTGAGCATTCATTCACTCTATCATTCACTCATATCATTCACTCATTAAATCATTAACTCATTCAATCAATCAATCAATAATTCACTCAATCACTCAATCATTTACTCAATCATTCACTCAATCATTCACAGGAGGAATACACACTTGAGATTGTCCTGTGAGTCGATGACTTCACTCTTCATCATCATCACCATCTTCCTCATCTTTCCCGCTCTCGGACAGCCGGACAAACTTCGGTGGGATGCGTAGTTGCCTGGAGGGGGGAGGGGGGAAATAGCACGTGATGACGTCATTCTGTTTGCAATGTCTTTGTTATCATCGTCATTGTCGCCATCGTCGTCATCTTAGTCTATATTATCACCATCATTCTCTTTTGTAAATTTGTCATCATCATCTTAGTCATCACCATCATCATCGTCATACTTCAAATCATTGTTGTTGCTCGATCTCGAGTCATCATCGTCACCATCGCCATCATCAGCAGGAATGACGTCATCCTTTCGAGAACATGCTGGAATTTCCATCATTTTGAACGTGCTGGATCTGGCAGTTTCACTTTCGTTTCTGATAAAAAAAAATTAAATTGGAAAAATAAATGAATAAATAATCAATTAAACAACCATCGTCGACCAGTGAAATTTGCATGTGGCGTGGTTTGAATAACTTAGAACATGATTACGTAATAATAAAAATAATAATAATAATAATAAGAAGAAGAAGAAGAAGAAGAAGAACAACAACAACAACAACAACAGCAACAACAACAACATGAAGGAAAGAATTTTTTTGTAAATAATTAGTCTAAAAAATTGTTTGACGTCAGTTAAATGTAACATTAATTAACACATCGAAAGGTAAATTTTTATAAAATTTCAGATTGGAAAAACATTTTGATCAATTAAATTTTAATTATATTTTAATCCGTAAAACTTTTTATCCGTATAAATTGCTCACAAGTTCCAGTATCTTTATTTTAAGAATTTTTTTTTAATTTTTCGTTTATTATGTTTTGAAAAAAATTAATTCAGGCCAACATGATGAAAATTTTGGCTTGCACATCCTCATCTCCGTATAATACATCAGCAGCTTCACACTTCCCAGCAATTACTGATGACGATGAGAATGACGAGTTCAAGTTCTGGCAATGATCTGTGTTCATTTCTGTATATTCACTGTTGTTGTTGATGTTGTTGTTGATGCTGTTGTTGTTGTTGATGTTGTTGTCAGAAGAAACGACTACTTCTTCCTTAGCAACTGTGAGTGAGTGGGGTGATGAAATTGATGTCATCATGCTGGCATCTGTTATGTTGGTTGATGTATCCATCATATTGATGATGTTGTTGTTGTGGTTGTTGTAGTTTGGTTGTTGTGTTGAGTACTTGTCTAGAGTTTTCATTGAAAAATCAAAAGGTTCTGTTTGTATGAACTGAATGTCTGTTTCGTTGTTGTTGTTGTTGTTTTTGATGGGGCTGTTGTTGTTGTTGTTGTTGTTGTTGTTTTTGTTTTTCATACTCAAATCTAGTGTTTCGCATTCTTCCTCCATTTCAATGTCGTTTGCTGTGTTGCTGTTGTTAGTTCTTATGGAAAGATTCAAAGGATCGATATTGTTAACGTTGTTGTTGTTGCTGTCATAATTGTTTGACACTATTCTGGTTTGCTCTGTTGGTTGTTGAATGAACATTGTTGCGGGTGTTGTTATTGTTGTTGTTGATGTTGTTGTTACTGATGACGTTGTTTGAAGATTGAGTACATCCAATAAATGTTGCGGCAATGAAAAACGTTGCTGTTGTTGCGAATCAACATTTCCAGAAGTTGTTGTGTGTGTGT